CGGCGGGGCCGTTGCGCGGCCTCTGGTGACCGTTGCGGCGCGGCGCCCCGTCACTCACCCCCTACCAACATGTACGTTACTGACGGAGGCCCCTCACTTGGGTTAACCGCCTCCCTCGGCCCCTGCTCATCATAGCGAGGCCACTTCCCAGCCACTGCCCGGCCTCCTGCTCCTGAAGCACAGGAGGGTATTTCTTCCCCCAGCATCTTGGGGCATCAGCTTCCTTGCCTAAGGAAAGGAGATTTTGCAGGTGGCCTCAGCCCTTAGAGCACCACCTGCCTCTACAGCTTATATACACATAACCCGCCTTCCAAGGGACATGGTTTGGCTGCTGTTTTCCATGGGGATGGCACAAACATCTCCCTGACAATGAAGACAGCCCTACAAATACCAGCCGAATGCCCGCAGCGTGGAAACATTGGGGATCCTTCCAGACCACGTCTAGCAATATTAATAATAGACGGTACTGGCAGTACCGTCTCTAATGCAGCCTCTTACACAAGTGGTCAAGGCCTAAAAGCGGTCACTTCATAGCATGTTCTCTTAGCAAGACCGAGCTCTTGCCACACACAAAGCCCATCAGGCTTATAATTAAGCCAGGCACATGCTTGGCTGTTTATAATGACAGAAATTCCTAGGAATACATAAAGCGATATCAAAGCTCTGGTGTCTGTCTTCTCCTTAAAAGATGACACATTACTGACAGATCTATTTGTCCATCTTTAAGAGGAAGTATCAAACCCCATGTGGAAAAAGAAGCTTAACTTTTGTTAACTAGAGTCTGGGTTGCTGCTAGAAATTAGAGTTTTCAATGCCTGTACATTACAGTATTAAAGCTTGCACATTAAAGTACAGAAGTGTTGCTTGTACATAAGTATTTCAATGGTTTAAAAAATAGGCATGCAAAATGTCATCAATTCTATATCATGCCAACAAGATTGTAGAATTAAAATCCCCTAGACTATTCTACCATGGATAATGGAAGTTCTTATCACAGGACTTAGAGTTAGATCAGAGATGGTGTTGAAAATATAAAACAAAATAAAAATAAATGAAGACCACCCATAGCAAAGAAAAGAATTATTTGAAGAAATGGTAGTATATAGGGAGGAAAGATGAGAGGGTCTCTGACAAACTGCCTTATAGTCAATTTCTGCAGAAATCTTCTGCAGAATTACCTTTGTCTTAACTAGCCTTGACTTAACTTTTCACTTCAGCTACCGAGACCTGTGCTTATCTGCACAGATTGGAGACGTTCAGTGATGTTTGTTTCACCAAAAAAAAAAAAAAAGAAAGAAAAAGAAAGCAAAACCAGGCTAACCATTCATACAGAAACGTGTATTTATCTTAAGAGTGCCTAGTTTATAGTTTATCCTATTACTTTGAAAGCTAAGCTGAAAAATACTAAACCTCAAAGAGGAAAAAAAAGAATAGCAATTAAAAAGTTTGCATCAGTTCTGCTGAAATATTTTTGGAGTCACATAAATGATGCAGCTACCCCAAAATAAGAATGATGACCCTTTTTACCCACTCCTGAGGTAGATCTGCAGTCAGTTCCCCACTGCTGCTGCTGGGATGTTGCTGTGCAATCACATGGGGTCGGCAGTTCAACAGATGCTGCTCTGCCCCTTTTGCTTATAGAAAGCTGTGCTCCACATTGCTTTTTAAACACTGGTCCTCAAAAGATTGTGGGCTATCTAATTCTATATGCCGAGCCTGCTGCCCTTGATCATTCAGATGAAAGGGGAAGACCATCCCGATTCAGACCCAGAAGTATGACCCAGAAGAAATGACCCAGAAGTGACCTAGAAAAAATGAGGGAGTTAAGGTCCCACGACCCTTCTGTCAGTCAGACCATTCTGTAAATCATTATTAATGAAGTAGCAGTAATTCTACAGGTGTAATTAGGGTTTTTTCCCTCTTCTTAGAACGTCTTACAGGACATATAGACTGTTTCATGAAAACTCTGAAGATAGAGCAACAACGATACAATAGAGCAATATTAAAAAAAGTATCAATCACTTCTGAAGTGAAAACAAAATGGTTCTTTGTTTTCACTATTTGGTGTTTTTATTTGAACTTTCAAGAGGCTCTATAATGTGCATGCAGAGTCGGAGAAAATCAGTCCAAATTTCCAATATCGCTAAACTAAGCTACACTTTAGCCAAAGAAAAGAAGCCTCATGAAACCCAGCTCTCTGCGCATCTGTCCATCTCTGTCGTTCCTTTCCTTTTGCAATTATTTTCCAGTTTCAGCTCCGTCTTATACGAGAGCAGAGAAGCCCGAGACACGGGGTTGCCGCGAGCTTCAGGAGGGCGCGCACGCGAGCGGAGGCGAGCGCCCTGCGCCCGGGGCCCCGCCAGAGAACGCAGCTGCTCGGCTGGCACCGCTGCAGCCACCTGCCCTGTCACCGTGCGCCGAGCGCTGTGCCCGGGACGCTGCAGCGCTGCCTCTTCCCTGACCGGCTCCTCTCCTCCTGCCCGGAAAGGAAGGCGCCTGGGGACACGGCGGGAGCGCAGTGGAAAACCAGTGTCACTGCGGACTGGAGGGCACAAGGAAAAAGCTCTCGGGCCACAGCTGGGACTATGGAGAGGAAGATATATATAGGTATAGGTTATGAATCCATGGGAAAGCAAGCACGAGGGAAGAGGCTGCTTTTTGCATGGCTATAGATCACTGCTGCTGCAAGGTCAGGTGGCCAGCTGGCCCTGGGCAGCAGAGCAGCGTTTGCACTGGTGGGAAGAGGCAGCCCCTCTCTCTGCCACTAACCCCTGCCCATGGGGGACAGGGAGACTTGGCTGAGCCCAGGCCCCTCAGGACAGGGAATCTAATCGGAAGCCTACACTTTATGTATGTCCCACCTGCTTCTAGTAGCCAGTTGGTCTATTTCATTTGTTCTCAACTTCATTCTTTTAAAGGAAAATGGAATATTTGCCCTCAAAAGGAGTAACAACAAATAGCTCGTATTTAACAGTGTGTTATTTCAGCTTTGGAGACTGTCTTCATTCATGAATGTCCAAGCTCTGCAATTAGTAAGTATTTCCATAAAGCTGGAACTTTGAGACTATCTTCAAATTAGTAGTAAACAAGGTTCTGAGAATATATATGCGGGAAAGCAAGTGACAAAAATAAACACTAGGAATTTCTTATAAAGGGATTCAAGCACCAACCCCAAGCACTTCAGAGTACTTTTCTCTTTGTTTATGGCCAGGGCTAAGCAGTTTGGGAACCTCCCCCTACTCCTGATACTATTAAATCAGTGAAAGGGGGTAAGACTGCAGTGATTTTGATTTTGTAGGACTTCATTAATCATTTAAACTGAAACAAAGACATTCAGATCCAGCTCCATTGTAGTCCCATTGTCAAGAACTGTCAAGCCTCAAACAGTTACTCCAGCTTTGGCTCCTCTCTTCTTATAGGCGTAGTTTGCATTGGAAATTAGTCACTTGCTGTAACAGCAGGCTGAAAAGGATCTGTATTATTTGGATTTTCTCCAAATTACAGTTAAGCTTGAAAAATCAGGCCAATCAGTAGTGGTGGTGGGGCAGGGGGAATACATTATCCATTCCTTCCTGCATTGTTCAGCTGCAGATTTTGGGAATGTGGAGGTGCTTTCCCTGTTCTAGGCTTTGGCAATGATGCTGCCTTTGATTTGGTGCCCTCTTCTGTTGGAGAGGGCGAGTGCATGTTGGCCGGCGGTCAGTAGCTCCCAGTTAGTCCTCCTCACTGGAGAGGAACATTGCCCTGAAACTACCGAGGTCTCTTCCCTTCAGCTGCACCCGCATGCACAGCCTGGTGCGGGAAGAAAAGCACCAGAGGATAAATCAATAACCTGGTTATAGGAAGGGCATCCAGGAGCTCCCACAGTGCTGACCAGAGAGGAGCTGGTGCAGGTGGCTGCACGTCCCAAGACGAGGCGCAGAGCTGCAGCTGCACCAGGGCACAGCACTAACACACCTCAGCTTTTGAGAGGCAGGCAAGTCAGAAAAGTAGAAAGACAGAAAATCACTATCCAAACAAGAGCTGTGCGTCATTAAGTGGCTGAATCCACACGTGAAGCTGGCACAGGGAGCTAAGAGCACCCAGGAAGAAGAGCCCCGCTCTCCACACAAATCCACGTTTCTTTCTTTGCCATATGCAGGCTGTTGAGCACCAGCTGCTTTCATTGCATGTTACAGGCTTCACATACTCAGAGGGAAGAGTCAGTAAGCGGACAACCTGGAGCCGAGGCTCATGACTTACTAAACCATCAATGAAGCCATACCACATCAGCAAGCTCTTCACTTACTCACAGCTTGAAGAAGCATGAGGGCTTCCAGGGCAGAGGCCTCTAGTTTCCATCCATCTCTCCATCTCAGTAGGAGCAGGGGAGCTGCCTGCTCACCCAGCATCCCAGGCAGAGGAGAGGTTACCAGTCATCCAAGATGAGATCAAAGACCAGAAGGGAAGAATCAGCAGCCACCCAGGGTGACATCCACCAGCTGTAACTCTGGGGATGACCTTCAGTCCCCAAACCCTGCAAACCTCCCACCTTCCGCAGCAAGCAACACAAAGTGGAGTGACCTCTGCAAAGGCCTGAGTGGGCCCAGCTCTCCAAGCAGCAACAAGGCCTCTGCTCAGCAAAAAATACATCAATGCAGGAGCACCTCACTCCTCCTCACCCAGGAAAGGCTGTTGTGTGGCTCCTCCACTGCTATATTCCCGGGCCGCGCAGCTCTGGGCGGGAGTTTGGGGCTCCCATCAGCAGAGGGCGAGCGGCACCTGCGGCAGCCGGGCCGGGCTCACCCCAAATAAACCACCGTGCCCTGCGTCTCCTTGATCCAGGCAGCTGGGAGCGGGGCCCTGAGCCTTCCTGCTCTCTGAAACAGCACTTGGGCTGGCTAGCTAGAGGGGAGCGGGGAGAGAAAAGAGTGCAACCTTAGAGCTTGGGGTTTTTTGGGGGTAGGAAATTAAAAAATTAGTATTTGATTGCAGCATAGGCATAAGAAATTGCAGTCAATGTATTTCAGTCTCAGATTTTCTGAGCCTTGAATACTGATTTGCAGTTTAAATGTGTGGGTTCTGCCCTATTAAAAAAAAAAAAAAATCTGTATTGACCTCAACAGGCTGAGAGCAAAACTGCAGCTGCTAAGCAGCCTTCATGGGCGGGTGGCGTTTCAGCGCCCGGCTGCGCTCCTCCCTGTGATCCCGCGCTAGAGGCAGATGAAGGGCTTTGCCAGGGGCCTGCACAGGCGGCGGCACTTACAGAAGGGCAGTGAAACTCATGGATGCAGGTTATATCCTGAGATCTGAGTGTGTTCTCAAACACAAACTTTTTACTTACCTCCTTTATTCTTGCTGTCTCCCCCGAGGGTCTGTTCTCTGCTGTGATTTCCCATTCTCCTTAATCAGAGAATCATAGAAGAATGATAAGGAAGAGGAATGAGGTGCTCAGTTCATGTTTTGCATAGCAGGTCAAAAGTCCACCTTTCTTAGGGTGCACGACATAGAAAAATACATCCTGTGGCAACTAGACTTCACACTAACATGACTGATAGAAGCCATGGATGAAGACCAGGGACCACCTACAGCAGACAAGCAAGGCATTGTGACGAGGCATTTTGCAGGTTGCAGCTCAGCCGGGGACAGCCCCGTGCTGCAGTGGACAGCGCTGCACCGCACGGCATCGCTGCAGGACTTTCCTACGTGTTCCTTGCTCTGTGGCTCTCAAATCTTTCCTTTTAAGGGGTCTCTGACATGAGGAATCTCTACAGGTTATACTGGTGCTGTTAATTTTTCTGAAATCAGAGAGATAAGAAACCTCTGGATTGCACGCTGGAGGTTAGGCTTCAATTCTTCAGGCACTGAATTTTGAGCACTAATATATAGTGTCCATATTATACCAGGGCAGCCCTGGACAAAAAGGGGCATTCAGCAAGGCCTACAATTTCTGAAACCCACCTGTCAGCTGTAGAAATTAAAACCAGAAATCATTGGAAATAACCGAGGGGAAAAAAAGTGTATGAAGAGTATGCGCAGCTTAGGGCACTTAATCTGCCAGATAAACAGACTCTCACCCAAGACATCAGTTCAAGACTTTTATTGCAGCAGCTTTGTCTACAGCAGTTGCTTTCAGTGGGGTTTCCAGCGGGTTCCGCTTCCCGGGCTCGGCAGCCCGGCGCTGCCTCCGCTCTGGCCGCTCGGGAGCAGGGGCGGGCGCAGCCGGCTGCCTTTCCCTCGGAACAGCCGGCTTCGCGATGGAGGGGCCCTGTGTGTGTCTTTGTGCAATGGGAAGGAATGTTCTAGCAGAGAGGGATTTTTCCTTTTCGCCTTTCCAAGGTTCCGTTTGAAGAAAGAGCTGTCAGTTATACCTTATAGTTCACAGTTCCTGTGTAGGTTGTACATGATACGCCTTGTCTCACATCCGAATTGGAATCATTGCCATTTCAGGATGGCTGTGATGCTTTTCTCCAGGAGCATCTCCATAGAAAATGTTGTAGTGGATGCACACGTGTGTGCAGGTACATACACATACATGTGCATACCCATAGCGCAAGAGGGGCTCGAGAGAACACTGTCATACAAACCAGTTACTCATTGTAGATTTTTTATTATTAAGGTAATACCTAACAAGCATATTTTCTGGTTGCATATTTTGAAAAACAGAATAAAAGGCCACACTTCTCAAGCTCTGCCTGGGCTGTTACATGCCTCTCTCAGAGAAAATTCTGACAAGTAACAGCTTGCTCCGGGTTTCCAAGGCCATGGAAAGAAAACCTCTCTGGGTTTTAACAGTTCTGGGCATTTGCAAGCCTGTGCCATAGCCCTAAAGAGGAGCTTTCCCAGGGCCTGCATCGCGCCTGGTTTGTGCAACAGCCTCTCTGAAGCCTCCGAGCTGGCCGGGCCGCCGCCGCGTGTCCCCACGCGGCAGGACAGCTCAGAGGGGCTCTCACCAGGGCAAGAAGGCTGGTGGGCACGGAGCCCACCCCGATCACTTCAACCGGCATTACTTTGGTTTTCACAGATGCTCTAATTTGCTCTAAGGTGTCTATTGCTACCGCTTGCAAAAGGGCAGTGCTCTCCAAGCAGGCGACTACTTGAAACTTTTAGAAAGTCTTCTCCTTGGTTGGACAAGGGAAGATAGTACCTGAAATGTTTAGGAAGGAGGAAAACTGGATTTTGTACAATTGCATATCTGATGGTTACTATTGCAAATTAAAAACTCAGGAGAAAATAAGGTGGTTATTTTCCCCCATGACTCAATTTAAAAATACCAACAAGTACTTTCAGTAAGATTTTAGCGTAGCAAAACTTTCCTCTTAAAACTGAACGTGGAATGGTACAATGTTATAAATCTGCAGCACAGTTCAGCCCAAAGGTAGGACATCAGCGTGGGTAACTAGACAAAGAAGAACTGCAATGAGTTCCTGTGGCTAATTCTGTTAAGTCTGCTGCTTCTCTTAGCATGTGCATTCATTTCACTCTGGATGGTGCTTTGACATTTATTACTGGGTGCTCCTTTCTAAAACAGAGAGGTTAATTACAGAAGCGTCTCTCTAAACAGCTTAGATGGTGTTAGGTTCTCTGGCTCGGTAATGAATCGTCATCCTAATAGGGAGTGTGGGCTGTGACAAATTACACAATTTGTTTTATGTCTCCAAGGCAGAGGATGAGGTTTCACACAGGAATCAGCTGGTTGATTGCCCAAATATTTCCAATAAGCTTTTCAAAGGCTTCAATGATGCTCGCTGGGAAAAAAAAAAAGAAGAAAAGAACGAGTTTTAGAGAGAGCAAGAATAAATGATGGTCAGCAACATCCTCGATACACCCCGACTTTCTCCTCTGCAGGCAGCCAAAGTCAGTGTACCTGTGAGTGCAGGTGCTGGGCTAAGGGCCCTGCAGCACACGAGCACCACACGTGGGTCCATCGCGCTCGCCTGGCCGCTTGGGAAACTCGCCGTGCTCCCACCAACAAGGCAGAATTTCAGGGAGTCCCTCTTCACCATCATTAACGAATTGTCCCCACGCCGGACAAGTTCCACTAAGCCTTATTTCTACAAATAGTTACGGGAGGAGCGTTAAGCGGGGGCTAAACCAATTGTGTTTGCTGGGATTACTGCGGTAAGGAGCTCCCGGCGGCCGCAGGGGCGGCAGGAGGTGGCCGGGCTCCCAGGAGAGAGCGGGGCGAGAGCAGGGGCTCGCTCAGGCCCTACCTTCAGCAAATTGCATCCGTTACTACTGCGAGTCCTTCGCCAAATAACTAGGTTACCTTTAGAAAAATAAGTAAACTGGATTCTGTTCTCTCCTATCAAAATTATTTTGATATTTTGCCTTTGAATTCAAGTTGTAGAGAAATTTGACTTTTAGAATACTTGTGCAAGATATTCTACAATTTAGGAATTGTTTGGGTTTTCTTTTTATTACTTTTGAGTGCTAAAACAACTGGATAGACCCAAGACACTTGGTTAATTTATTAATGAAGTTAATGGTATTTGCCCTTCAGCACAGGGATGCGAGAAAACACTGTTGTTTGCTGTTGCCCTGGATGATGGAGCAAGCAAAGGTGAACGTGCAAGGAACACACGCAGCTTTATTGCTGCGCTCTAACTGTACACAGCGCATGCATTGCCAGGGTACAATGAAGAGCACCACTTGCTGTGCTCCCTTTCCTGCCTCGCTTGCCTTGCTGCTCCAAAAGGCAGCACCCGATTGCTGATCGGGAGCAAAAGTCATCCGGGGAATCGTGACCCGGGCAGCTCATTTGCGTAACTTTCCGTTGTTTGTTTTAGTTCGTATCTTCTCTACCAAGGTCCACGTCCGTATTTCAGGCAAACTTGTATTTCCCTTAGCTTTCTATCACTGTCACACAGCCCCTTTGGGAAAGCAGAGTCATGTGGAGCAGGCAAAAACTGGAAAACACGTTTTATTCTGGAAGGCAGCGGGGGCCCCTGAGTTCCTTAAGCGTCCCCCTGTCCGCAGGCAGGCGCGTGCTCGGGGAGGCCGGCTCCGCACACCGAGAGAGCCCTGCATTCCCTGGGAGCGACCCCTCAATGATAAGGAACTCCCGCATCAAGCTCCTTTGGGAGTGGGGATTCTCCACATGGAGGCACATGCGGATGGATGGATGGATGGATGGATGGATGGATGGATGGATGGATGGATGGATGGATGGATGGATGTTCCCCAGCTGCAGCCGCCACTCGCTGGCTGGGAAAGAGCGGGGGCAGTGCAGGCAGCTCGCGCGGGAACGGAGCCGCCCTGCAATTCCTTTGCCGTAGGGGTCCCCAACGGTACCTTAGGATTCCTTTGCAACGTCCTCAGCTGCCGTCCCCTCCGTGGAAACTGAAAACGGAGACAAAAACACCCATGAGAAACACTTCTCTTGTGGGGTATAGCACAAATACAGAGCAGAGGAGGCGACTTACTCAGCTGTGAACGAGACAAGCCCTTTGGGCTAAAGGGAAAAGATTTTTCAAAGTAATACAAGTAACACAGACATTTTTCTTGTAACCTTATTTCTAATTTTAACCGAGTTTAGTAGTTTAGTGCAACTTCTAAACTATTTTGAAAATCTCCCCTGTGATGACTTTGAACGCATATTTTACTGTACATCTTCAATAGTAATATAAGGAATGATAAATTAGAGCTGCATTGAAGCACTGTAAGGTTTAGAAATACCATATGTTCTATATTTGTCTTTTTAGGAATGTAATTAGGAAAAAATACATCCTTCAAATTAAGTAAGCCTAAAGAAAAGAAGTGTCACGTCACACTCACCAAAAGGGAGAATATTTCTTGCCCTCCCCAGCTTCCCCCATGAAAATTTTGCATCTAGCTACTTAGGCACACAGCAAAGCACTGAGCTCCAAGCACCCCAGCAGGTCTAGCTTAGCAACACCGATTTCTAAAGTACGGCAAGTAACTGCAAAATGATATTCCCCACTCACAAAGACACTAAGACTGCAAACACAGCCACCCCTGGCAGGCAGGCAGTGTCACTTAAGGTGCCTGGATGCCCTCGCAGCTAGTGCCGAGCAAGCAGCCGTTGGCTCGGTGCCCCCGAGCAAAGCGCTGGGCACCTGCTGCAGCCTGCCCGGCCTCCTCCTCCTCCTCCTCCACAGCAGCAGTGGCAGCAGCGGCAGTGTCCTCGTCCCCTGCCACCGCGCCGGGCGTCTCCGGAGCGGCCGAGGCTGCTCCCTCGTGGGCACTGCCCACGTTCTCCTCACGGGCAGGGGAAGCGGCAAGGTCCAAGCTCGCACCTTCGGTTTCTATAATCAAACGAGAGAGGTGATGGTCGTGCCTTTGCTGCCCATCGATCACCGCAATCCCCGGCGAGCTCTCGCGGCTCCCCGCGGCCCCGCGCCCGCCTCGCGGGGCGCAGGAGCCAAGGCCTTGGGAGCAACAGGACCTACGTGCAATCTTGTCTTAGCATGGAAATAAAAGCTTGCAAGTGGAATGCCAGGAAAAACAGTGCCCAGTGTGTGACTCTTCTGTCCTTGGGGTGGAAAACTCTGCAGAGCTGCCCCCCAGGTGTCTTTAGCCAGAGGTCTATGTTCTCTAAAGTCTATATTCTCTTACAGATACTCTCATTTTATTTTTTTGGTTTCTGTCAAAGTATAAAATTTTTTAATGTGGAAAGTGCTAACATCAGGCTGGGGGGTCAGGCTGTGGTCCAGCAGAGCAAGCCTGCCAGCCAGCCTGCGTTCAGCACCCATGAAGGGTGAGGCAATATATTTGTGCAAGAGGTCTGGACCCTGTCTGTTTGCCCAACCCTCGGCACAGAGCCGCCGCAGGAGGACCCAGCACGTCAGCCAACACTAACGTAAATCCCTCTCATATTATTCAAACCTCACTGGTAGGAGTCCCGGCATTGCCACACACTTCAACTGCTCTGTAAGTTAAGTTGCACAGGGATTCTGCTGCTACCAACTGCATCATGTTCCACAACACTGGCATATTAAATATTGTTAGCCAAAACGTTTCACTGGAAGGACAAAAAGTACATTAAAGAGGAGAGCTGCAGAGCTGCTATCCCATGGGGTTTTTTTCAACTATCATCAACAGATAGTTAACCCTCAACAGATAATTAACTATTCTGAAAGTCAACTATTTAACTTGATTTAGCAGAATACTGAGTGAGTTTTGAAAAAACAAACAAAAAATCAAAACTGCTACACATGGCAATTTTTAAAAACCTTGGTCTCTTTGTGTGTGTGTGTGTGGGCATATGTATGTGCGTACATATATATATTTATATTTGTCTCTGACTACCATAGAAAACTCTAGCCTGTACTTTCACTCTTCGGGAGTTCTCAGGTGTCTTTCATGCCTGCTTCTGGAGCACACACAGGACAACTTCATACAAGCAACCTTTGGGCTGCCACAGCTTCTCTGCTCCTTTCAAGGAACAGCTTGCGAGGAGAAGACAGTTGTCCACCAAAGTGTCACATGCAGCAACCTGCACTGGATCATTATGCATTTCATAATGTCTTATCTGTAAGAAAAATACAGACAGCCCAACACAGGTCATCTTGTGACCCTTTTTTTGGCCTATTGCAATTGCAGTAAGCTCCCTAAGTGTCCCTTGGTGTTTCAAGCAGAGCACTGTAGCAGTTAAATAAATGCTCTTTTTGCAATTATGCTGCTCTTAGCAACTACAACTTTCTTGATTATACATGAAATTAGAGCCTGCCTATCGCATTGTTCAAGTTTTACCAGTACATGTATGGAAAACTATCAAACACCAACACACCGTGAGCTTCTCAGCATTACTAGGGGCAACAAGAAAGAAGCAATACGCCTCTCTGGGTTGTGTGGTTCTTCTATTACATTCCTGTTACTGTTCCTGTTTAACAAGTTCACCATAGTAAAAAAATGCACTGTACCACATACACCAGGAAGGCTCTTTGCATGATTTTTGGGGGGCTCTAGTAAAAATTTTGGTTAACTTAATCCAGGAAATAAAAGAACTTGGACACTTTTCTGCATCCGGACTGTTGAGTGTCTTGTGGCACACACAACTCATCAAAAGAAGAACACAAGTGCTTGGATTTGGGTGAAATTCACTTTTCTGTTGCTTCTCAAATCCCTTCTGGACACCTCCCACTTTTCAGACCTACCACCAGGTACCTGGAGCCTACAATGCCTGGATGCCGCCCTGTGCCCTGTGCTCTGGGTGTCCCTGCTGGAGCAGGGGGACTGGACTAGATGGTCTCTAGAGGTGCCTTCCAACCTCAACCTTTCTGTGATTCTGTGATCTGGTGGCCTTGGGCCTTTGCACCTGCGGTCCCTATTAAATCTCTCTTACTTGCTCCATGTAAAATACAGTATTTACATCCTGCTTCATTAAGAAGTAGGTAAGAACACTAATGTTCTTTTGAAGTTACTAATAAGCCTGTCATTATATTCTATAGGAATTGGATAATTTTGTTAATTCAAATTCCAGAAAAGCTGAGCTTACTTTTTTCCAAAATAAATCACGGAGAAGGTAAAAGTTAAGAGGTTAAGGGCCTTAGCTGACTCCCTGCCGTTGCTGACCACTCCTGGCTTCTGAGCTCCCGGTATCCCTTGGGCAGCGAGGACTGAGACCCATTTTCCATCCTCATACTGCCTCTTACAATTTCCGCAGGCTCAGAAGCGGAATACGATGGAGCAGTGGCCCGCTCCCTACACCCACTACCATGCACAGCACCAAAGTATTTCTGTTACGAAAACACATCTGTTTGGAGCTATTACTAAGCAAATAGGAAAAAAAAAAAAAAAAAAGGAAATTAATTCTACAGACAGAAGGAAATCAAAGGCTTTTGGGCTGTTTTGTTTTCTTTCCTATAAAGCAGTCGCACTAGGACATTCCAAGAGCTTATCAGCACCGAGCTGACCTCCAGTTCCACCTAGAAACACTACGTTTCCCCAGACCGTGTCCCCACCACTTCAGCGAACGGCAGCTGCTCGCTGGGCAGAATCACCATTTCTGCAGACCCCCAAGCCTCTCCCCATGGAGAGGGAGCACGGCCTCTCCCCATGGCCGGTGTTTTTCTCGGAGCGCTGCAAGCACCGCGGAGGAAAACGCCGCACATGAGCACGGTAGGCACGGACGTGCACAAGCCAGGCAGCTCTCAAGGGGCTTCCTCCCAGGTAATGATGAAGAGGAGAAGAAAGGGGGAGAAAAACGAACAAGCAAACAATTGTCTTCCAGGATCCACATCCTACCACTGTAGAGGACTGGAGGAAGATGCTCCAAGTCATCTTTAAAATGCCCTGGGAAGAATAGGCTAGAGGGTGGTCTCTAAGATGGAAGGAGGTATGGAACAAACGTGGGCCTTGATCACAGTAAACAGTTCTGAACTCTGTTAGAGAACTTGATTTTTGCAATAATCTTTCTGCAAGGTACCATTTCTGATAGCACTTCTACACAGGAGCTGGTGCCCGTTCGGTGACCATAAAGCTGACTTTTCCAAGCTGTGTTTCGCACCCCACACCACACGTGAAAGGAGCTACCAGGGCCCTCCAGCCCCTATCAGCCACATAACCTGGATAACCGGCGCTTACTCGGGGCTGTCAAGGAGAAGAGCAATCTAGGCAAGACTGCAGAGACCCAAGGTCATGAGGACACAAACAGCTTTCGCGCGGGCAGCACCACCAAGGCACAGGAGCAAACACCTCACCAGGGAAGAGTTTGAATCCTCTGCTCAGCCAAACCTGGACACAGAAGTTCCCTCAGTGCTTATTGAAGAATCCTGCAGAAAATCCGCCACATTCACAGGAGGTTGGGATCTTCAAGTGTCCACTAAGGAGAATGTCAACAATTAATCATTAAGAGAATGAATCTTTAGCAGATAGAAAGGAACGAAGGTGAGAAGGAAAGAGCCACTTCTTTCCTTCTCATGCAGATGAAGCACTTCAGTTTATGAAAAAAAGATATCTGTGTCTTAATTCCTAAAAATTCCTAAAAAGCAGGAAACTGCATCACATATGGCAGCATTAAAATAAGAGAACGTGATATAATAATAATAATAATAATTTTAAAAGCTCTTGGAACTCAGTATTTTAATGCTTTTTTTTTTTATCCACTTTAGCCAGTCAGCTCAGCACTGAATCAGAATGCTTGTTTGGAAAGGTGGCATGGAAGCACATTTTTTTTTCCTTTTTTTCTTCTCTAAACACCTAATGATGCAATTTGTATACAGACCAATATGAGTGGCCAGTAGACACAATTATTTCAGCAGTCTTGCTTATAGTGAACTTGCACATTGTATTTTTACAGACTAGAAAAAATATGTTTTCCCCTTTCTATTTCTAAAATGATCTTACAAATATAATAAATACAAAAGAATAAAAAGGAT